TTTTGGGGGAAGCTTTCCTGCTTTCCTGCTTTCTTCCTTCCTTTCGATAACCAACGTGGCACGTGCCTGGGACTGAAACTATTTGGAAATTGCTCATACGCACTGTTGCGCCCTGGACATTTACGGCCTGTGCCTCTTCTCTTTTGAGATCCACTAGCATTCTTTTGCTTCAATCGGCTGTATCATTCGGCCCATCCATCCATCTATCCATCTATCCATCCATCAATTTGTCGCCAAGCAAAAGGAGCATTGTACCCAAAATAGCGATAGCTGATTCGCTAATTGCCGTTTCTCATTTCCCGTGCAACATTTCTCGCCAGACAACCCAGGGCAATTTTGAATTTCGTGCGGAAGCGGAAGTGGAAGTCGAAGCACGAGGCAGTCGCACAAAATAATGGCCAAAAAATGCTAAGAAAATCGACACACACGTCTTGACTTTAAATATGGAGCATTTGCGGATAATTTATGAGTTCTATGCCATTTCAGATCTTCAGGCCTTTGATGTCGCTAACGGCTTTCCATTTGGCAAAACGCCTGATATATGTAGCATTCATTGTACCCAGCTATATAGTATATACACGCGCATAAACACCGAGCAGTCACTTTGACCTGGTCTAGCCTCCATCGACCCGTGACTTCCATTGTTCTTGCTTTCCCCGGTAAGACTTCTGAAGGTGAAAGTGCTGCGGGCGCTTTCTCACGCCAACTGGCTTTAATGGACGAGAAAAAGGCGGGACAAAGGGAGAGGAGAGTTGCCAAGTGTCGACAAGTAAGTAACGATGGCACTGCAGAACCTAAACCACCGCCCTTCCTCCTAAGTCTAAGTGCCCAGAAGCTCATCCAGTGGACACCAGGCAGCTGCGAAGCCTATGTACTAAGAACTGCTACTACCCAGTCTGATACACTGGGAAAAAATAGTCATAGGGCGAAACTATTGTTAACCGAATTCTACACCATTTTAGTATCGAATTTGCATCAATGAGATGAATGCTAAACAGGGGTGGACCCAGTATTTTAGAGAAACTTTTTGTTGCATACTTTTTGAATACATCCATAATTTAGTATTAAATTAACACCGCATTAATGAGTGTTAAACAGGGGTGGATACAGTAATTCATAACAACATTGTTGTTGAATACTTTTTGAATGACACATATCCCTTAAAATGTATGTTTAGTAATTTAATGCCGCATTTTTTAATACAGCAAATACTAAGGCTCAAACTGTATTTTAATAGTTTTTCTTTAGGTGTATAGTATAGTACCACCCACTGAGGTGCTCTGTCCAGGTGGGTGGGTTCTGAACTTTCAACGTAAACTTTGCTCTTTTCCCATGCAGCTGGCTCAGGTTTTGTGCAGCCACCGTTCCTGGCATCCTAGCATCCTGGCATCCTGGGATCCTGGCCATTAAAAACTCTTCAGTTGGTAACGCCTCAAGTAGCAACATGTTGCGGCAGCATGTTTCCGCAGCGCTTCCTTGGGGTTTTTCTAGCTAATTGGGTCTGAATCAGCATTGGCATCCATGAACGACCCCCTTACACCTACCTACGATAACTTGAGAACAAATAAACAAATAAACGAATAAACAAACGGAATGAAAGAGTAAAACTGTGCAAATCAATGAAACTGGGGTGGTTAGTCCGGCATGAATAGCACCGAATAATTAAATCAAAAATGTTCCTTTTATTTCATTTCCATTTCCATTCTGCTTCTCCATCTGCCTCGAACAGCAAATCACGCTCCTTCGATTAAAATAGTTTCCCAGGTCCTCGTCAGCAGGAATCGTAATGGGAATGGGAATCATAGAGCCATGGAACCATGGATTCGAAATCGGAATGGCAATGGTAAGGGGGGTCATGGCGTAGGCGTCATGACCTCAGTGATTCCCTTGTGATTGCTTCGATTGCTTGTTAATCATTCGCATGTTGGTCAACAATGTCGGTTCTGTGGGCCCATGAAGGCCATGAAAACGACGCCTGTCAGCCGTAAAGCGATTTTTATTGCCCAACTTAGCAGGCGTCTTATGCAAAGTACACACAGGGAAAAATATTAAAGCTGCAAGGTTTTTAATTTGATATGAAAACTTAAAATTGAATAGAAATATATTTTAATAAAATATGAAAATGTAAAATTAAATTAAATTATTGTATACATTTAGTTACATATAGTTTGTAAAAGCTCTTGAGAGTTTATAAAAAATTCTAAGAATCTATATGGATCTTGAGAGTATCTTGAATATAATAAACTACTATAAACTTTTAATACCATGGCGGGCCTCTGTTTTTTTTTCTTTTTCTGGGTGGATGAGCTAAGGGGAGGCATCTCCCCCCGCTGGGCGACATTCAACGACAAATGTCTTTCATTTACGCGTAATAAAAAGGAAATCTCCGCTGAACAATGGCCGCCGGGCGGCTTTTGCAGCGGCAGGAAAAAGTGGGTGTGCCATAGCCACCATAACTTGTTGTTCTTCCCGTATTTCCTCCGTCTACTTTGCGGCTGCCTCAAGTGTATTTTACGTTATTTTGTATTTAATTTACAGCCCAACCTCCCTCGGGGGGGCATTCGCGGGCCATGAGGAAGTGTTTTGCCTGCTATTCTCCCGCTGCCGAAGAGCGAGGGCTCTTAATGGCATAAAAGTATAAGCCATACATGTTGATTACACGGCAAAGGCGCTTAAATATGCATGAGCCGAGGCCGAAAGCGCATTGAATTTGAAACGCATAGAAAGTCTTCGAGGAGGAGGATGATCCTGGAGGAGGTCTGGTTGGGAGAACTCATCCTCGAGTGTCTGTAAGTGGCGCAGAGCGGTTGACAACACACAGTCTTCCTTCCCTTCAGAATGGGAATGAAGTTTGCCTGCTTTGTGCGGGGTAAAGTGGATAAGTTAAATACATTTGCACTCGAGATGGATATACTCATTTGATGAGGAGGCGCAATACCACTTCCGCAAGTCTCAAGCCACTCGAGGCCCCTTAAATGTTTATCCGTTTGCCTCTTCCGCAGATTAATTAGGGAATTAAGTGCAAGGCAAACGCAGCACTCGAGAGATCTGCTGACATTTCAGCAGACTCAATCGATGGGAAACGTCCTGGTTGCCCATTGTTTTGACTTTAATCGCATAACTAACAAGAGAGAACGCTATAGTCGGGTTGTTGTCCCGACTATCTAATACCCGTCACTCAGCTAAAGGGAGTGCGAACGCTGTGTCGGGTTGGTGTCCCGACTAATAATCGTAACTCAGCTAAAGGGAGTGCGAGTGAGATAGATATATAATTTTTGATTGCGTATAACTTTTTAATGAATGGTCCGATTTGAAAAATGTCTTCTACATTTCGATAGGTATAAATATACACAACAAAATTGCATTTATACTTCTCGGAAATCTTTAAAGATGTGGGCGCAGGACCCATTTTAAAATCGTTAGTGGGCGATTGTGGGCGTTAGAGGGGGCGTGGCGCTCGGCTAAAATAAACTTGCGCTGCGTAGGAAGCCAAAGAATATGTGTGGGAAATCTCAACCTTCTAGCTTTTGTAGTTTCTGAGATCTCAGCGTTCATACAGACGGACAGACGGACAGACAGACAGACAGACAGACAGACAGACAGACAGACGGACAGACGGACATGGCTAGATCGACTCGGCTAGTGACCCTGATCAAGAATATATATACTTTATGGGGTCGGAAACGCTTCCTTCTAGCTGTTACATACTTTTGCACGAATCTAGTATACCCTTTTACTCTACGAGTAACGGGTATAAAAATATAACTGAGTCTATTTTAAAGTAGGAGGAATCTTTCTCGTAACTGGACATCCGGCAAGTTGTTATTTTCCGCACTAATGGACATTTATGTCCTTATTCATTGAGGTCGTGGGCGCCCTCGGAAACCATTAATACTCATTGCCACTGGGTGCCTGGATGGTGGATATGGGATGTGGAACGTTGGATGTTGGATGAGCCGCCAGCTGCAGTTGACTCCTCCACTCTCACATCCTCACATCCTGCGGCCCACCGCCTTTGTGCTCCTGTCAGTCAGCATGTCGTAACTAGATGCCATGCAACACACATGCGCATTCCGAATAAAATGGGGCATTAAATTTATCCACAAAGAGATCCGATTTTCGTAACGCCGAACCCCATCACCCATACCTCCCATCTCCAATCCCTCATTCCCAATGGACATTGTTTCGGACCACAAAAGGCATTTAACAGATTTGCATGCACAAACACGCGTTCGTTGCAGCCAACGGGATGTGCAGCCTCATTCTCCTCCTTTACAGGCCAAAAGTGCTTACAAACAGTTCTAAATTTATCTGTATTTGATTAGGTAGTAAGCAACTTGGGTACGAGAAGCAGAAGGTGTTGAGGTCATAAATATTCATGGGTCAGTGAAAGTGCACTGTCAGAAATTTCTTTAAGCTAGAATGACATTGAGAAGGAGATGGAATTAAAATATTTAACATTTAAATATTAGATAGCAACACTTAAATCTCATAAATAAAAATTAGATAAGCAATTATAGCCCTTAAACTACATTTAAATATTTATTTTTGTTATTTTCATATTTTGTGGTAAGCCAAAAAAGTTGATTTTAAACTGCTCAAACATTTGGAACTCTTTTTTTAATGAACTAAAAATAAAATGAATAAAATGTATACTTACAAAAAAAACATGTCGTCGTAAAATCGATTTGCGCATGTAAATTTCTGATAATGCAATACGCATATCGTTTTGACATAAAATATTCATTTTGGGCATATCGAATTTACGGGGCCGCATATCAAGTTAAAATTGATATTAAATATAATGTACGTTTCATATCGATTGTTTGTTTGGTGTATATATATTTTAATTACTAAGTAAAATGTTTGTTAACTATCTACATTTATACATATAAACATTTAACAAAAATGTAATTATAATTATATAATAATATTTCTCAACGTGTGAAGCCCGCAATCCCAGTTGGCTGTGCCCAGGGCTTTTGGCAAGTTTCCGCCTTTCGGTTTCGAACAAATCTAAATTCCAAATTTTCCAGCCTGGCTGAGATATGCTCTTTGCTCTACCCACTGGCGGCCAACTGTTGACGTAACTGCTCCACTGCTAACCCTAAAGAAAAAGAATGGCATCTGGAATCGAGCTGAGCCGCGAGTGCCGGCAGGTCTTCGAGCAGATTCGCAAGCTGAAGCAGCATCGCTACGCGGTGTTCGTCATCCAGGACGAGCTGGAGATCAAGGTGGAGTATCTGGGAGTGCGGGAGGCGACCTACGATGACTTCCTCGCGGATCTGCGACGTTCGGGGGCGAATCAGTGCCGCTTTGCCGTCTACGATTATGCGTATCAGCATCAGTGCCAGGGCACCTCGTCCACCTGCCTGAAGGAGAAGCTCTTCCTGATGCTCTGGTGCCCCACGCTGGCCAAGGTCAAGGACAAGATGCTCTATTCGAGCACCTTTGCGGTGCTGAAGCGGGAGTTCGCGGGCGTCCAGAAGTGCATCCAGGCCACCGAACTGGACGAGGCCTGTCGCAATGCCGTCGAGGAGCAGCTGCGCTCGCTGGACAGGGAATAGATGTCCTTCTGGTTTACCCCATACTTATCATCCGCCTCCTTGAAATACAGTAAGGCCCATTTAAAATTGCCTCTGGTGTCGAGTTTTATTTTTGTGGCGCCTCCAAAGTCCGTCTTTCCTCGTCCCATCTTTCCTTGGCGAGGGTTCCGATTTAATTTGATTTCGCCCCGGCTTCTAATGAGCCCATTTGGCATATGGATGCCTCTTAACGCTTGACGCTTGCCACCGGGTATCAGGTATAATTTGTTTGTGTCCCCAGCTTTCGTCCTCCTTCGCTCATTATCTCGGCCCGGGCTAAAAATAAGTACATACTTTCTGCTGCGAAGGCAAAGTTTTGGCATTCAGACGCGACTTTTTTGTGTATTTTTTGTTTTTATCTCATCCATAAATCACGAGCAAGTTGAAACAAACGCCCCCTCCGCTTAACCGCGTCCCGCGGCATTTCCATATCATTTGGCAAAAGTCTGGGAATTAATCAAATTGACGAGGAGAGCACGTCACCCAGCAGCCCCAATTGCTACACTTCAAATGAGATTTTGGATTGAATGTGCGCAGCGTTTATTGATTTGCTGAATTCAATTCGACTGGCGTAACTGGCGTAACCCATTCCGCGATTTTCCTTTATCTCCTCCATCGAAGTAGCCTTCATCATGTGCAACGATTGCAGGACATCCTTGGTCCTTGGTCTTTGGTTACCAGTAACCAGTAGTGCTGTCAACTTCTTACAAACAAAAGAACGAGAAAGCAAGCTAATTAAAGTGGCAAGAGAAGGGACTACGTTCAATGAAATTGTGTGCTTTTTTATAGCTTTTCTTTAAAAAAAAGAGTTTTTGTTAAACTTCTTATAAAATTCAAAGCCGATTGGCATGTAACCCATTAAATTGATTAGAACGTGATAGAAATTATGGTTGAAAAATCCGCTATAAATGTTAATTTATACATTGTAATACCTGTTTTTGGCCCATAAAAATTAAATATTTTGGTATTGCAGCAAAAAAAGCCAAAGTATACGGAATGTATGTATCTAAGTATCTATTAAAGATATAACCTTTTGTTCACAAAGTCTTACTGTGATGTTTACAAGAAATTCATTTTGATATGAACCTTACTTGAGCAAGGACACCACTTAAAGCTGGAAAAAGGACGAATCGACAGCACTTGCCGGGTAATTTTATCGGCGTGCCCGAGCGCTACGAGTATCCGTCATATGCCTGGGAAATATAAAGGAAGCACTGATATCACTTGGCAGACGGGCAAACGGGAGAAGGACACTGACAAGGACAAGGACGTGGCAGCAGGAACGGAAAATAAAGGAAAGCGATTGGAATGGGAATGGAAACGAGGAAAAGGAAAAGCGAGCCGTAGCAAAGTTTTCCAAATGAAGCGAGCGAAACGCAAACAGAACACGAAGAGATAAAAAAAACCTCAAAGAGATGCAGTCATAAATTTGTAGCCTCCTTTGCCCTTTTTCTTTCTTTTTTTTTTTTGCCACAACACAACAAATGTGGCAAAATCAAAGCGAAGCGAATCGAAAGAAAGGGAGAGGCAAAGCGCAACCCTAGGAAATCCACGCAAATCTAGTGGAAAATTAAAATTTTGCCAATTTATGCGAACGTCGGAGGCGAAGCCGTTAAGAAGTGACAGCAAAAGCGAAGGCAAAGGGCAGACATGGCTAAAACTGGATTTTTGGCGGCCAACTTCGCACGCAGGCAGCGGAAATGAGTTTACCTTTGAGCCGGGAAGCCAGGAAGGAAATGAAGCTTTTAGTGCAGGTGCCATGCATGCAAATGCACTGGGTTTTGGCCCTTAAACGTTGCGAATAATAGCCACTTTTCCAGCAGACCACCAAAAAGAAGAAGGAAGAAAAGCGGTCCGAAGGGCCCCTCCACTTAAAACACCAAACCCTCCAAAAACTGCGTTAATGGAAGTGGATGTGCGACATCTTGTTGGCAATGTAATTATCCATTGGTCGGTGAGTGGATGTTTGCCGGATCTCGAAGACGATTTAACTCTTAATGCCAAAAGTTTTCCGCTTTTCTCCTCCCTTTCCTGGCTCCCTTTACAATTTTCCCTCCAACAGTTAGTCTTCCATTTCTAGCCAGCTAAGCCGATTAGAAAGATGCTGGCCAAATCCGAGACAGATGTCGCCCCTTCCTTGAAAGTCGCGCGATTCCAGGGGAGGATCCCCGAAAAAAGCCACCACTCACCCGCCGTGTTCTATTTAATTATGCTTGTTGTGCTAATGAAATTGAATTTGTTAAGCCAAGTCGATGTTTGCTGTCAAACTTTGTTTTGACCAGTCAGCAGAGGGGGAAGGTACTTACAAGGCTATTTAGTCATTAATGGTGGGATTATGCGAGGGATAGACTTTGGGTATTCCAAAAGTATGCAACAACCAAATCCTGGAACCGCCACTGTGTTGTATATCCCCATGAAAAAAAAGCACGCTTTAATAAGTAGCCTTGGATTCTTGCTTCGCAAGTCGTAACCCCTTTTTGCGCCATTTCTGTTTACCCCGGTGTGGCAGCTTATCTGGGGCAGTGGCATCATCACATGTCCAACGAAACTGCGAGCTTTGTAGGTACAAACACATATGTGGATTCCGAGTTTTCTAATTTGGAATGCAAACAAAACTGGGATGAGATTTTTGGCGCTACGTTTGCCTTTGTGCTTTCTTTTTATTTGATTTGTCCTTAACCTAACTTCGTGAGCATTTCCTCCCGTTGCACTTTTTGATCTGATATAACAAGATGCGATAGTTTTCGCACAAGTACGTATATACCTTTAAGACCCCGAACGCAGCTCAATTACACTTAAATTGGCTCCCCTGTCGAACGGGCCACTCCTGTCCAACTTCTTGCTGCCAGGATCAATTTGTGTCCGTGGTCCGACGGGCCATCGATATACGAATATGCTAAGTGTATGCAAAGTGCCGTGACAGGCAGATACGGAATTGTTTCCTTTGGAGGATGCTGCATATTTGTGGCTGCTTCTTACAAGGCACATTGGAAAATTCATCTTTAAAAGTTCTGCAAAATGGTAATAATATTAAGGGAATTTCATCGTTGGTTCTACACAAAAATACCATCTGCTAAGTCTTGTTGACTAATCTAAATTCTAGCCAATTCAAAATGGCTTTAAAATAATGCAGTTTAATAACAAAATTGTTCACAAAGTTTTCAAGTGATATGGATATATAAATTTAATATGAGTTCTTCAAAAAGAAGTTCTTGAACTTGATTAAAATTCTTAGAAAACCTGGAATAAATATATAATTAAATGCAGATTACCACACACTTCTAGAGGTATTCCACTTTGAAATGATGATTTAATTGGCCAAGTTATGAGATAACCAAGCCGACTAATTTATGTAAAGAAGGTTTTGTTTATTCAGAGAAAAGGTTCCACGTTTTTTGGGTCGTCGAGAGGCCAGAAACCCAGAAACACGAAGAAATGGCGATTCCGGACCAATGTGCCTGGGTCGACGGGTGTGGAATTTCGGGGTGATGGCTTCTCCAGACCCGGGATGTCCAAGTCCAGACACTCGTCTGCTTTTTGCCCGCCGACGAAGGAAAAACGAGGGGAGCTTAATTTGAATTGCAAAGCGATGCCAGATGAAAATGCTACAAAGCCAAGGACAAGGAGACGCCGCCTTCTATACATGTGTTCTCATTTATATTTGAAAATTGGCATTTTTACGGCTTGACGCTTAAATATTTAATATGCTGCCCAATTTTTGGAATTGAAAGACCGTTGCCAGAAACAAAAAAATATGCCTAAAAATGCGGTCACGGCTCCTAATACATGGCGATTAGGGATAAATACATATACATATGTATTTTTTTTTCTGGGGGGTCTGTGAACCTTAGCGACCCGTCGGGGTCACCAAACTGTCTGCGTGGCACTCCTGCCGTCCATGTGGCGCCCCCTAGGGGCCAGAGTCCACAACCGCAGGCCCAATCGAGTTGAAATTGTGATTACTCTGGATATTTCTGGCTGAAGTAGAAGCCTTTAAGAAACAGCGACCCCGAGGATAAGTCCCCTATGTTGTCTCCCGGGAGCCGCCAGCAATTAAACTTTCGTGCAACAACATATCGAAACTTTATTATCTTAGCTGAAAGTTGAAGAGGGAACTCGTCACGTGGTTGGCGGGGTAAAATTTACATGACGCCACACAAGATTAATGAGCGAATGGCTGAAATACACATAACGGGTCTGAATTGCTGGTCAGTTGGCCTCCGTGCCCTGAAATATAAATAGACCATCGTTCGGAGGGCGTTTTTGAGTAATGTTTTGCGGACGCGTTGGGTCCTCTGACCTCATGAAGTGCACTTAAAAGCTATCAATTGTATGTGAAAACTTTCACTTTAATAGAGGCCTTACTTTATTTGATTTTTATTTTTATTTCTTTTTCATGTAATTCTATAAAGCAACAACCGGGGGTTTCCTGGCCTGCCAGGCAATGCAATTATTCTAACAGGAATTTAATTAAAATTTAACAAATTGCTGGCCCAGAAGGCTTCCCTCGGCATCCGGCATTTATCTTGACGGGCACACATGCTTGCTTTCTAGTTGGGAAAAGAAATGGGAAAAAGGAGAAGGGAAGCTGCGAGTCAACAACTAATTAACTTGGCAGGGAATCAGAATCAGAAATCAGCGACTTTCGGCATCTTCGCCGTCGCAGCTGGAACTCTGGAACTCCACTCTCAAGTGGGGCGACACGTGCCAATTGGCTGTAATATTTGCTATCAGCCATAAGGAAGACCCATAAGCAGCTTACAGATTTAATTATGCCTCGTTGGAGCTTGGAGGTCGTAGTATAGTGGTGACCCCGATTTCCCACCAACGCAATGGGTCAAAGTGGCTTGCTGATGATGCAATGTCATCTTAGTCTCGCCGTGACAGACATATGTAGGTGTGTTCAGGTAATACGGTAATACAGGAATGCATCCAAAGGGGCAGGGGGTTGACTAATTGGTGTCGCGGGTTGAGGTTGCGACCGCTAATTAGCTCACAGGACACCGACACACAGTACACAAAGTCAAATGTTAATTAATTAAAAGCGGATTTGTCGCCCACGCTTCCTTCCTTCCTCACATCCCACAAGGTTAATTGGGGGAGGGAAGGAAGAAAGGAAGAAGATTTTAGCACCTGCCGCCGATATCTGAGGATTATGCATTCCTTTACACCGAATACAGGCACAGAAAAAAAATTGACAAAAGATCAGATTGATGTGTGCTGGTCAATTTTATATTTTTAAAAATTAATTTTTTTTTATTCTAACGCAGCAAATTTACGTTTATATTTGTAGCACTACACACAAAAAAAAGCACGTCGCCGTAAAATCGATAAGTCCAGGTAATTTTCTGGTTATTCCTACTCATATCGTTTTTACCTGAAATATTCATAAATTTACATTAAATAATATAATTTTGCCGAATTCTCTCTCTCGGAGATTCTCTAACTTCGAAAAAGAGCGCAAGAATCAATATGGCGAGCAAAATGACATGAGTGGAAGGGAGAAAGACTGATTCGAAATTCGAACTTACGTACTTCAAGCATGTTTTCTCGCTCGCACTAGTGTACGTTTTGGTCAGAAATAAGATTTTTTACATTTCGAACATATCACATTTACCTGGCCCCATATCAAGTTAAAAATGATCTTAAAAAAGGTCAAATTGACCTACGATTCATATCGAGTTTTTTTTGGGTGTAGTCACTTATCATTTTGATATGAATAAAGATTGTATTTATCTTATTTTAGATTATTGGTTCAAAAAATACTACATTTGGTATGATATGATAAAATATCATGTTAATATTTTCGAATCATAAATTTGTCATAAATTTTATCGGATTTTTATTGATATGAAATAATGTAGAATTGACTCTATTTCATATCGATTCTTTTTTCTGTGCGGAAGTATTTAATTTATTCCTTGATTCCAAGGTAACAAGATTCCTTGTAATAAAAACAAGATTTAAGTCTTAAAAATATTCAAGTGCTTCCTTGGCACTTTTTATTGCATTTGTTTTTGTTTTTCGGGGGCCTGTGTTATGCAGCTCTGTTTAAACATTGATAAGCCAAGCCACTGGTGTTGCAGGAAAAAAAGGTGGCACTTGGTCAAAGTTTTATTGCGCTCCTTATGTACAGACATTAAATTAATGTTGCCAAATATTGCACTTGAGTGTTTCGAGTCCTTCGTTCCCCATTGTTTACTCTCTCCTGGCCCGAAAGGCAAAATAAGCAGGCGGAGGATGTTTCGGTGCGCGAAACTTTCGAAGGAGTGTGTGTGTGTGCAGGATAATGATAAGGATAACACACAGATAACGATGATGGTGAGTTGGTGAGTGCTCCTTGTTTGTGCCAGCTGAGCTCCTTTGGCTCCTTTTGGTGTCGAACGGCTTTATTTTTAGCCAAGATGAAAAAGTTATGAATCGAATCTCAAAGAAAAGCCGGAAGAGGCTGGGAAATGATGCAGCAGACTATCTCTCTGTGTGTGTGTTCCATATGACATTAACGTGTCAACACAGAAGGAAATTGAAATGCACTTTGAGGATGCCGGGATATAAAGCTGTGCTGTGCTGGGGTTGTGGATGTGGATGTGTTGTCTGGTAAACGATTTAAAAATCGCTCGCCAAATGCGATGCCAGCACTCACACACTAATCGCATTAGCGAGTGCGAGTTCTCCTTGGGTTCAGGATTATGGGGATTCGGCGAAGTGGGGAGTTCGGGAGTTGGGGAGCTGGCGAATACGAACTTTAACTTGCCATCCGAAAGCAAAGTAGCGCCCGAGGGTTTCAAATTATTCATTACGCAGCCAGAAATTCGATATTCGGAGGGGAGACACATTTTAAAGTATTTGTATCTTTTGATTAAACCAGGAGAGAGAACGCTTAAGTCGAGTACCTCGACTATTAGATACCCGTTACTCAGCCAAAAGAAGTGCGAGAGTGATGATTTTGATTTTGATTTTAAAAGGGATTATAATAAGGGCGAAAATAATGCATTTATACTTTTTCGAAATCTTTATTATTATTATTATTATTATAATGTGTTCAGACATTCAGACGAACTTAAACTTAGCTATAGCTACGGGGCCTTAAGCTACGAAATCTTTATTAATTAATTCATGCGTGTGTACAACACTTAAAAGTTCTGTTTAATTATCATTAATTTTATAAAGCATACTTTTGGGCAAATTGGTAAAAGTTCTCAAGGAGTATTTTTCCTTTGTTCATGGCTATGTCTCAATTAATTTATTTCTCCTTTAAAAAAAATCCTAAAATTATTCTGTGTATAGGGCTCGAACAATAAAGAGTGGCCACCTTTAAAAAACTAAATTTTTTCAAATACCAGAAAGAGAAAATAACCATTAATGGTGATTTTTAAACATATTGTGGAGTAAATGGAAATTTGATATCGTTTCAATGTGTCTAAATTAAAGGAGTGAAGTAAAAATACGCTTTTATTTGTAACGCATTTTTATTTCCAAAAATAGAACTCACAAATAATGTTTATTTAGGGGTGCCTGATAAATACCGGCGCCTATTTCCGGCCACGTTACCGCTCATTCCTGCTGCCACGGATCACAAGCGTTGCCCTCCACAGATCCCCAGGTGGAAGCAGAGGTCACACATCGCAGAATAGTTTCCCCAATCCCCGAGTTGCTCGTGCTCCGGCGCTAAGCCATTGATGCTGTCTGTGTGTTCCCAGGCAACCCCGGTGGCCCTCGTCCTCCTGGCGGAGGATGGCAGCTTAGGTTGTTGGATGTTTACACCACTGTCATCAATCAAAATTAGAATCAAAGCACCCTTCGATGATACGCGTAAATGGCTGTTTGTTTGTCTTCTTGGGCGTCGGCGGGCTTTTGATGAGCTGTCATTTCTCCGGTGACACCTGAGTGGGCCTTTGTCTTTTGGCCATCCACCTACCATTTCCACTTGCAACTCAGCACGAGCCATACATATTTTTTGTATCGAAGGCCCAGGCCCTTCGGCTGCTGCTGCCCCTCTCGACCTTTGCCACCATAAATTGCTTGCTTTTTCATTAATTTTGAGCTCGAAATTTATGACATTTGCTTGGCAAGCTTCAAGCTAATGGCCACAAATCAGAGCATCGCATAATTTGGCTCCTGGGCTGCCTTTCTGGGGGCTGCTTTCTGATTTATTTCAGCCACATGTCGCACACATTGTAATTTTTTACCAAAATATGAAAGCGAAATGCAAATGACTGCCATCACACACACATGAACTGTGGGCCCTGCGACGTGGGACGTCGACAGTCTTCAGTCCGTATTCATGAACCTCCGCCCGGCATCCATTTCATTTCATCATTCGATTCCACTGTGCGGCCCGCGCGGCCCATTCATAAAGATTTCAGTGCGTGCCGGCTAACAGGGCGGATGCGTAACGTCAATTTAAAGGGCTCACAGCAAACAAAGTGGGCTGCATGTGTGTGAGTGGGCCGATGCTCCGTCCACACTTCGAACTCTCGCATGTGGGCCATGTGGACGTGTTCCGCCTGCCAAGTGGGCAGCCGGACCAGCAGCAGTACCAGTGCTGATTTCTTGGCCAGGAAAAAGAGGAAAAGGTCATAGAACATATCTACAGAGTAATGGGTATCAGATAGTCGAGACACCGCAAAGAAAATGTTATTACATATTAAATAATAAATGTAATACTAATAATGTAATAATAAATGTAATATTAAATAATAATTTAATAAATAAGCGCTGTCGACGAATAAAGCACAAAAGGAATGGGTATCTGATAGTCGAGACACCGCAAACAAAATGTTATTAAATAAATAATGTAACAGCTAGAAATAAGAGTTTTCGACAAAAAGAGTCTGAAAGTCAAGATATTTTTTTCGATCCTTTTTGTTGTTTACTGAGTAGGCCCAGACTTTGTCGTTGTAACTTTGTGTATTCCCAACCTTTCTAGCTTTCAGTACGCACCAAGTTTTCTACCTTATTTTTACAATCCAACAAAATTTTGGTGTTTTTATAAAATTTTAAGTTTTAATTTGTCGCGTTTTTTATTGTAGAGATAATGGATACCAGTGAAGTGAAGAAGATGGAGCCCTTGCCGATAGGACGGGATGAAGAATTAAACGATTTTCTGGTCGGGGAACTGGAATGTCCCGTGTGCTGGGAAGTCATTTTTCCGCCGATCAAGATGTGCTGCCAGGGCCATTTAATTTGCACTGGCTGCCGCGAGAAGATAAATAGTAAATGCCCCGTCTGCCGGGAGCACATGACCGACATCCGTAACCTTGCCATGGAGCATGTGGCCGAGAACCTGCAATTTCCTTGTAAGTACTCGGCTATGGGCTGCCGGGCTCGCCTTACGTACGCGGAGAAGATCAAGGAAGATCACGAGAAGAACTGCGAGTGGCAACCCTCCTGCTGCCCCTTCTCGCAGACCACGTGCAACTGGCAGGTCCGATGAGGGATGTGCCCCAGCACCAGGCAGAGGCACACAAGGAAGAGGACGACGAACAGGGACCACCGGAACTTTGCTCATCCCAAGCATCTGATATTGGTGATCTTTAAAAATGAATGGCAGATTAAATACAATTTTACAAGGATGCAAAAAAGTTCTGGGCATAAGCGAAAAGAAAGCAAAGGTGTAATGAGAAAGTTTGTACTCCAAAGAGGTCCTGTAAATTATGTATGCTGATTAAATCGTATAACTCATATTACGCAGCAGCTATGAGTTTTATAATAATAATTCGTATAATTTATAAGCTAAGTAATTGGTATCTAATGGTCGAGGTGGTAGACAATAGTTTTCCTTCTTTTTTCATATTTAAATTCATTGTTTTCCCAGCCAAACATTTAGCTTTAACATTTTCCAAATGAGCATGGTAATGGGTATTTGATAGTCGAAGCGATTCTTCTTGTTTCGAATTTAAATTCATATTTTTCCCAGCCAAACATTTTTTCTTTAAATATGAAAAGCCTTGTAAAAAGCAATAAATTAGTTAAAGCTGTGACATGGGATATTCTACAATTTGTTCCGGTTAATTCCGTTGTACGGAGGGACAGATATATCTGTGTGAAAAAAGGACCAAGCGCACAGCACCGCAGAGCAGAGCAGAAGTACCGCATTCGATTTTGGGGGCTGAATGCTGGAATTGGAATCGGAATCTGAATTAGAATGGCTCCCTCCTGACTTGGGGGGCGTGCACAAATATTAATCATTCCACCGCAAAAAGCTGGCAGTAAACAGTAAACACCAAACGGCGATGGGAAAAACAGAGCCTGGACCAAAAATAATAGGAGACTGAGCCACTGGGCACTGGACCAACATTTACCTTGGCTTGCCAAAAATAAATCCTGAGAAAAAGAAAACAGTTTACAAATGGCAGCCATGTCGCAGGTATTAATACATTTTGCCAACAGGCTGTCCTTATTTATAGAAACGAGCATCGAAGAGGGTTTCGTTTTTTGTTTTTTGATTTTGGGCTCTGGTCTCTGGGTTCAGGACCACCGCTGAGCTGGGCCAATTTATATTTCCTGAGAAACACGAGCCCTGATTGACAGTCCGGCTAAGCGTTTGGGCAACCTGTGCTCCCTGGATCCTGGCGGGCATCCTGATTGCTCAATTAATATCTATCGGTGCTCCATTCCCTTCGATTCGAATTTGCTACCTCAGTCTACCGGTTTACCAGATGAATTTGAATTATTAAACGGGAGCCCCGAAATCCAAATGAAACCTAATCACTGATTGGGTTGTGGAATGTCCTTTTGCCTCCCAAGACTGGTATTTGCATAGGAATCCTGTCCCTTGGGCTTGTGTTTGAATCAATCGCAGGGCAACTCAGCTAATTAACTGGCTAAGTGAGTGGTTTCTTCTGCCTTTCTGCAGATTGCCTTTCAGCCGGGCTTCTCTCCTTTGTTTCTCTGCGGAGCTTGACTCGATTTATGTATTTAGCGCTATCGCCCGCAACCAAAAAAAGGAAGGAAAGTAAAAGGAAAGAAAACGTAGAGCTCAGAGCTGAGAACTCACAACTCAGAAGATTGCTCATTTCAACGTAATTCGAGTTTACAGCAACAAAAGGCTCGTAAAATATTGCAGCAAGAACAATAACAACAACAACAGCAAGGAGCCAAGTTAAATAAAAAGTTTTCGGCGTTAAGAAGGAATTTCGAGCGAAAGCCAAAAAGGATTTGGGGGCCAAGTCAATAAACCGAAAGGTCGAGGATGTTTGAGCCGCTGTTTTGTCTGGCGAAGCCATCGCTTGGTTTTAACCTGGTCCTCCTGCTATTGACTTGGGTCCCAGGACTCCCTCCTCTTCGTCTCCCCCTCTTGAGAAGCCTAATTACTTGCCAGCGTAAATATATAAAATTAACTGCCTAATGATATTTATTCAGAGAGCGCAATGTAAATGCCATATCATTATCCTTGAAGCGCTGGAGTCGGACACCTTTAAACCTTTTCCAGTAGCCAGTGGCCAGTGGGCAGGATACAGTATACAGGATACTGGACCCAGGGCCAGATGTGCACTCCATTAGGCCAGCTTTTACCCGCCTTTCACAGCCGGCAGCAAAAATTTAATATCCATTTGTGTGCTGCGGAAAATCCAAAGCATTTGCCATAATTATCTCGCTTTTCCTGTTCCTGTGCGAGTGCGAGTGCGTGTCCCTAAGCCGGCTGCTGTCCTGTGCCAGGACCCGTGTGTCTTGTGGCTCCTAATGCTGATTGTGATGCTGAGCATACGCCGGAGGAGGGCGCAGCTGTCACGCCCCCACGCAGTTGGGACACAACACAACACAGCACAACATCCGCAACTGAATCCCGGGATACGAATGCTCATCCCCTGCTGCCCTAGGACCGGGACTAGGACAAGGACAAGGATAAGGACCAGGACCAGTGGGATATTCTGCCGGCTGGAGCCTAATTATGGTCGCGTACTTTGGGTAGTTATTCCCCGGTTAAAAACCTTTTGCTCTGAGGGACGCGAATTCTTAAGTAGTCCTTGTAAAATGACCAATATTAAGTCCAATATTTATAACCTTTTTACTAGCCATATTCATCATTGTTTTGAGAACCGCGAATTCTTTAGCAACCTTTGCCACCAATCTTTGTAAAATTATCAATATTAAGTCCATTACTTTTAACTTTTATATTTAATATCATTACTTTTAAACTTTAAAAACACTTTTTTAAAATCACTCACTCCAAAAACACTATTTACATCATAAATCTGACAGCCGCGGATTCTAAAGCTACTTTTCCAACCATTCTTTAGCCACATTACTCATTGATCTGAGGGACGCGAATTCTTAAGTTGTCCTTATTAAATTACTTATATTAAGTCCTTTACTGTTTCACTTAACTGGAGGCCGATTAAAGACCTTTTTACCAGCCATTTTCCTTATTGTTTTGATAACCGTGAATTCTTTAGCAATCTTGGCAACCAGTCTTTGTAAAATCATCAATTAAGTCCATAACTTTTAACATTTTACTTAATTTCATTTGTACAGAAATTACTCAATATTAAGTACAGAAATTGTTTCTTTTGAAATATCATCACCTTATTACCTTTATTATTTACCTTTGGCAGTTAATTTCTAGTAGTAACTGGAACTCATGGCCCTCCTTTCCCTTGCCATTTCCCCTTTGCTGACCTGTGGACAGACGTTGTCAATCGTTTGACATGACTCATGACCAAAACTTTTGTGCCAGCGCAGGAATCAATTTACCAGTGGCAAACTCCGGGAGCCTCGTTTATTACGGGTTTGTCCTCGGACCGAAAACAAAGGGAACTTAAGACAACAGGAGCGTGTTTCGATGGGTGAGGTTGGGGTGATTGGGAGGGAATGGAAAGGAACCCCCAAGCAAACGTTCTCGGTAATAAATGGCCTTTGATCGCGGGAACGAGCAGCTGAAATGGGCGATTAATTCATTATTCAGCCGCATTCGCCGGCATGCTCATTATGCATTCACAGTGTAGCTGTTGCGTCTGTTTTTAGTGGATTCACTGGCATTACTCGTTCCATATCTTTATCTGAAATCCGTATCTGTATCAGCAGTAATTTTCGGCTGCCTGGATTGCATTAACGCCACGGCAATCACTCCATAAAGTTCGAAAAACAACAACTGAGCCATGGAGCCAATGCAAATACAATAATTAAAATTAATTAAAGTCCAAAGTAAATAAATAAAAGTGGAGCGTGGAGTGCTGGAAAATAACCAGACCAAGCCAACTCCCCCCTTTTCAATCTGCCCAACGCTTCTGGCCACTTTAATTAATGTTGCAGCATTATTTATATGCCCGGCAAAGTTTGTCTTTCGCGAGTGAAGCCCCCGAAAGAGTCAAATTGAATTAATCAATTTAGGCAAACGTTCGGCCAAGTTTTCTTTTTGGGGCCACCGATCAGCATTTGAGCTCCCTGGGAATGCGGTCCGCCGGAAGATTTACAGATGGGAAACTTTTGGGAGAAATGCGTCTGCAGTTAATTTAGTCCACCAAGGTCGATTGCCTCTCGTTTCAGGAGGGGGTCCCAAAATAAAGTTTGCAACCTGCACAACCTGTTGAGGATCCGCCGCAGTTGCCAAAAAAACCACTCAACCGGCAGCTCGGGTTTCACTTTTCGGCTCCTCCAGTGGCGGAATGATTTATAATTTTGGGTCGCCAGGCAAACAAACAGCGGCAAAGTCTTTAAATAATGAGCTAAAGGTGTAACATCGGAAGGAACAAAGGACGAGAAGGCGACGCAGTCACATCACCGGCGGCGGTGCGCTAATTAAGTTGACAAATGTGGCCTTTCGTTCGCCTCTTCCGCTTTCCGTCGGCGGCACTGATTCCGGAGTTCCCCGGGGAGACATGCAAATTATTCAGCCAGGCTCCCAGTGTTACTCCCACTGATTGCCAAACGTTGTAGGGGCTCAATCATCTCGCTTTGCCCCGGAATGTATGCTACGCAGGGTAACAGAGCTGAAGATTTGTACTTTTTCCAGACAGAACCTATCAGCATCTTAATGGAATTGGATGAAAAAATATTTAAAAAAAATTTATAAGAAATAGGGTCATTTCTACCTTATTTCATATCAATAAAAAGCCGATATGATTTATGTCATAATGTATGATTTAAACATATTAACATGATATTTTATCATATCATAGAAAATACCAAATGTAGTATTTTTGAACAAATAATGTAAAATAAGATAAACGTAATCTTTATTCATATCAAAATGATATGAATAACTTGATCTTAAAAAATAGCCGATATTGTTATTACGTATTATATGGGCAGCCCCTAGCCAGGTTTCTTGAAGGTTTTATAGTAGGGGAGAGTGGGGTAATTTCGTCAGCATTTTTTCAAAGCTATTTTTTATCCATCTTAAGGCACGGTTTCATATTTCTATTTTTATTCTTGAATGCGGTTAGCACCAAGCTTTAAAATGTGGCATTCCCCTATTTTTTACCTTGGTGATTTATAAAAAATTAAAAAGTAAAACCCATATACTGGGGCAATCTCGCCACATAGGGGGGTAAAATCGCCACACCATTGGGGCAATTTCGTCACCTGAAAAATGTAGGGAACTTTACGCCTGTAAGTATGCTACACTGATCAAACGTACCATTTTTGTTGACGTCCTATATTTGTTGCTGCTGCCGGTAGTCTGTTCGTTAGCCAGCTCGTCAAATAAAAAAATATGTATTTATATTAGGTGCGAATTTACCCTAAGCATAGGGTGGCGAAATTTCCCCAGACAGTACTTTTTTTAGAAATAATTATTTTTCTTCCGAAATTAGGCGCGAAGTTAAAAGTCACTAACGCAGAAATGCACTGTGTATTATATAAAAAATCGTGTATCTTGTTCCTTTTGAATTGTGGCATACAGAAAAAATTTCGTCGAGAACTAAATGTAGCTTTTGAACTGTTAAAACACATTTAATATTATAGCTTAATTATCTTGGCCTTCTGTGCAAAAGAAATGCATTGGTTGTGTCATGCCGTCTTGAGGGACTAAAACAAAAAAAATTATATATTTTTAAGACTTATGGATTCCGAGATATTGCAGGTGACGAAATTGCCCCTGTGACGAAATTACCCCACTCTCCCCTATTTATTTATATAGTATGTTTTAAGATTGTAGTTTTTTTCCATTGACATTAAAACAGTTTGTCCCGCAAAGTTAACCGACTTTCATAGCCACTTAGTTATCATCACTGTCATATAATAATGTTTTACGTCCACCAAGGCATTTCCGCAAGGGGTCATAACAGAATGATTCGGCGTAAATAAACTTCCCATTTAGTGAGTGATGATATTTCTAAATAATTAATTTAGTATTTTATTAGCAAATTCATTTCAAAATGCAATAAATAACTTGATTTTGAAAAAAATCTTTAACTAACCCGATCTTTTGCCAAATTTAGGTTCGTTTTAGCTTTAAAAATATCAACAAGTCCCATGGCAACATGTTGCCTGTGGCGGCTGTGGTGAATTGCGCTGTTCTTGGTCCTTTGGCAGCATGTTGCGGTCGCTCGGCGCCGGCTGTGTTGTGGGTCACGGAAAAAAGCAAGCGGCTCCGATGGCCGTCAGTGCTTCGCGAAGATTGCGAGGCGCGACACACGACGCGGACGCGAAATCTGTGCCACGGCGAACTCCACATCGCTGGCGTTTCCTGTCCTGACCCCGATTTTTTGTTGCGTGAATTTAGACAAAGTGCGAGTGCGATTCTAGGGATCAGTGGCGAAACCCCTTCGGCCTCACGATTGACGCCTTTAACCGCTTCCTCCGCCAGTCGCTGCCGCTGGCCAAGGAGGCAGCGATCCCTCCGGCAAATGGCAGCCAAGAGATCTCCAACGGGGTCACCCTAAGCTCCGATCTCTTCAACTACAGCGGCCTGGAACTGGATCTCGGCCTGGATCCGCTGGATCCACTGGATCCGCTGGACAGCCCTACCACCCTGGCGCCCATCGTGCGGAACAGGAGCGTGGTGCGCGTCTCAGCGGATGTGCCCATCTGGGTGGTGCCCTGCTACTCGGCCATCCTCCTCTGCGCCGTCGTTGGCAATCTGCTGGTGGTGCTGACCCTCGTCCAGAATCGTCGCATGCGCACCATCACCAACGTTTTCCTGCTCAATCTGGCCATCTCGGACATCCTGCTCGGGGTCTTCTGCATGCCGGTGACCCTAGTGGGCACCCTCCTCCGTCATTTCATCTTCGGCGAGCTGCTCTGCAAGCTCATACAGTTTGCACAGGGTAAGTAAGTGGTTAGGGTCATCATCATCAGTAGGCCAATCCAGTCCATTCATGTCCGGCCCGTGTCCAAATTAAAAGGTGCTTACCCAGCTCACAATTCCGACTCCATTCCGACTCCATTCCGACCATTAGTAATCCCGAATGGCGCCCAACCATTACGACCTCGAGCGGATTCGCCAGCAGATCGTGCTGGCCAACATCCAGGAGCTCATCCAGAAGATGACGCGTCGCTGCTTCAACGCGTGCATCGCTCTTCCCGGCCTGGAGTTGCGCTCCACGGAACGCGACTGCCTGTCCAGCTGCATGGATCGGTTCATGGACTCGGTTCAGGTGGTCTCGTGCCAGTATTTCAGGCGCCGGCGCCGCCAGCAGCAGCTCCGTTTGAACCGCTTGGCTAGTGAATCCTCCGCATCCAGTGCTTCCAAGTGAGGGTTGATTTCCCACAGAGGAATATGTAGACCGATTGCAGATAGCCTGATGTGCTGTGTCTAACCCCCAGATCTACGGTTTCCAACTGGAACCCAAAAGGGTTAAGGTCACTTGACCTCCCCCCTCAAAAAAATGTCATTTCCGAAGTGGAAAGGCAGAAAGTGGATTTACTGCTGGCCTGGCGCCGCCAATAATGTCTTCCTGTTTGGTCCTTAACAAATCCTAGTAGAAAATAATAAAGATTAACTTCTTTGGTAGTTCCTTCCAGGAAGCGAAAGCCTCTAATCACACCCAAAAAAAAAAATCACAAGTGTTAATTCTCTAAGCGTTGTATTAAAAATATGGTAGATGTAGTATACAAAAGTGGTATTAGACTAATACTAGATAATACAAATTATATACCCAGTAGTATTAATTTCATATAAATTATTATAAATTTAATATTTTGTAGTTTCATTTGAAGTGTATTCATTTAATACTCATCTAATTGATGCAAATTTGACACTCAATAGTGTAGATTTTATGTAACAATAGTTTCGTTTTTATGACTATTTTTTTTGGGTGTAAACTAAATTTAATAGTCAAACTTTAAGGGGGGGGGGGTGACATATTTCCCCATAAGTTTTAGATGACCATACTAAGTATTTTAGATTGTGCGCTTATGCACATCGCTTTTCCGCTCAACAGAACGATATAGTGTGTGTGTGTTTTCCATCGATTTTACGCACAATTTCCGCGCTTATTTATGGCTTAAATCATATTTCGTTGGCAAGAACACACTACTCGTATATCGTATATCTCATCTCCGCATCCGCTTGTCAATGGCCGTCCGTATTTTATGTTGGCCGCCCGCATCTGCGTAACGACAGTCGGAGCTCTGGGATCCTCAAGGGTTCAAAAGATTAAAAAGGCCCACGCACACACTTGCACACCCGCACAACCAACGGGAAGCTCTTTAAAATCATTTTAACTCAATGACTGTACCCCAAAAAGTAAACCCAAACCCCAATCTCAAGTGGAGGCCTTGAGAAGTCCAGTCAGCTGGGAAAACATGCTCGCCAGACATTAATTTGTGTCTCCATAGACGATAGACGATGATGATGTCGGTGGGATGGCTACCATCTCAACAGATAGTTCACCCATCTGTGATACATTTCGCCCGGGGGCGTGATTCCGGGTTCTGTAAGAGGTTATGCCCCTGACACCTGTCAGAAATGCTCATCAGCATACCTTCTACTGCTTTTGGGCAGTTTCAGGAGTAAATTGTAGAGGGCTCAAGACATTAATTTGCTTATTTAATCAGAGTGCATGTTAAAGGACATTCTAATTATTCGCTCATCAACGGAGAGAGGTTCCCCTTACTAATCCTAGATGATCCCCATCCCCAACCCCATCCCCATTTCCATTGCAAATTACTCGGGGAGTCGGAAGCTGCAACATGTACTCAACATTCTGGCCAATTTCCATATGCACACAGCGTCATAATCGATCCTGAGCTGCCGGAGCACTCAAGTTGGCAGCCTAAGCAGCCTGGAATTGCTTTTAACCATCGCAATATTGCGAAAATCATTCCGCTATGCAACGTCACGTCGCGTTTTGCTTGTAGTCTTGCTCCTAGCTCCTTGCTTCTTGCTCCTTCGTCCTTGTAGTCCTCCTCCTCCTTCTCCTTCTCCTGCACTTTCATGACTTGTTTCCTGTTTCCTGCGCCGCTTTAGACGCGCGCTGCTAATGTTGTTTGTCTTGCTGCAAGTTTGTTTTCGGGGCTGCCGGATCCTGGATCCCCGTATCCATCCATCTTGGCCGCCCCCGCACTAACTTATTAACAACATAATAACAATGGCGGGCAAACAACTTGAGCGAGCGAGCACACACATGCCAATTTGTTGAGCAAGCACTCGACTTTCGGGGGGAGCAAGATTAGAAAGCAGGACGACCCCAATTCTTTGGCCAAGGAGCTACGCACATCCCTTGGCCATCTGTTGCACTGTTGGCTCGGTCGACTTGGTCGTAAATCTGCAAAATGTCATCGCTGTGTGCCACCAATTTATGGCCATCATCACGTCAGGGTGCAGCGATGTCCTGCAACGTCCTTATGGTCTCCTAGCCACCACCAACGTGAAGGAGGCGTGACCACGCCCTTTGATTTATGGTCGTAATTATGCATTTGTGGTCGGTCGGTCGGTCGGTCGGTTGGTCGGTGGCAATTCCTCGATTCCGCCTCATCTGCCTGGGAGGAATAACACAGGTAATGCCCATTATTTATGCCAAGCAAAATCGAAGCATAAGCTTCTGTAAATCCATTAACATACATATTTCAGGGAAAACCATGGCAGAATAAAAAGAAAAATATTTGCAAATTTGTAAATGAAAATTGAAAAATGTCAAGTGAATTTTCAATGCAAATTTAATTACACAGATTTTTCTAATGAATTTTTAAAGGTAAATGGGAATATTAATATCAAGCTTTTAGAATAAAAAGTATAAAATGAAAAATTTTGTAAATGAAAAATGTCATATAAATTTTTTTTAAATTTAATTCCACAGATATTTCTACTGAAGTTTTAAAAATATACATATCATACTATTCCAAGTGATGAGTCACCAGCATTACATTTTGAATTTTTAATGAGTGCAGGAAGTCTCTCTAAAAATATATCTTGTAATAAAAAAGACAAGGGTTCTTTAAACAGGGAATTTCTGTTCGATAAAGGTCGATAAATTGGCAGCCGAGAATCTATGGATTCATTCGTTTTATTTTATTACGGAAAGCGAAGGACGAATTCCTTCAGAGGGCTCGACCTGGCTGCACTTGTTGCCCCTTGCCCCTTTCCCCTCCTTCAAACTCGGTGGCCTTGAACCCTGACCTGTGGACGGACCTCCCATTGGGCCAAAGTCCAGTGCGTCCAAGTCGCTGACAGCTCAGCAAATTAATGATTAATTGAATTTTCCCTCAGTCGCCTTAGCCGGTACTTTGTTTTTGTGCTGCTTAGGATGTTGGGTCCTTTGTTTTTATACATTTTATATATATATTTTGTTTTTCGTTTTCTTGGCAACACAAATCAGCACCACGTCAACGTAATCATTAATTAGCAGAGATGGGAATGTGAAGTACCTACATATACTTGTATATAAATGTCTCAAAATCTTTTTGGCCGCAATGCAATTCTTGTGACTCTTGTCAAGGGGCTAAGGCAGCAGTAATGAGCAAATTTATGCCAGCACACACAACTTGGAAAGTATTAAGGGGGCCAAATGGCATAAGTGGAAAAGCGAATTGAAATAAAAACTAACCACGCTGCTCTTGAGTCGCAACTTTTTATGTGGGCGGTGGTTGGAGGGGGTTGTTATGTTATTTACGCTATTTTTTCTTAACAACCACGCCCACCGCCCACTCTGTTTGGCTCCAAAGTTTGCACAGAAGAATGTGCAAAGAAACGGACTTATTTGACTGGGTCGCAATTACTCGAACTTATGTGTGTGCTCTCTTTGCTCCCATGTCGAGTTGTTTTCCCCCTTTTAATGAGAGTTAACTGGGCGAAAACTCGAAACTCCGGGGCAACCAATGAATATGAATATGAATGTGGATGTGGCTGTGGCACTCAACTTAATCCTACTCAATCATAATGAAGCCCCGGCATTCATGAGTCTGCAATTGTCCTCTGTTTGTCCAACCAACATTCACAACTTTGTGAGGACCATCCTTTCAGAGTTCCCCGTATCTGAATGTGGAAATCGACACTTTATTGCCGCACAGAAATTGTTGTCGAAACGAAATAATGGCAAGTTATGACACTCACAGTTACACAAAATTGACATGGCTATTGATTTTCAATTATATAAATATTGGCAACGAAGGAAAAAAAGCCTCTGCTCTGTGTGCTTCTGTGTACCGTGGCAAAAAAGCATTAAAACATTGTTTCCATCATCGGCAATCTGTGTTTTCCAGCTCTCAATTTGCATACACCTGCCATGAAGGGGCAAATGTGAAGTGCAAAATGGAAATGGGTTCCCATTAAACCACATGATTCCTCTGAAGCCTGTCTCATTGATTTTAATGAGTGCCTCAACTATCAAATACCCATTACCATATCAGCCAAATGAGTGTGAGAGAGATGAAGATATGCAGGCAGTCGCTTGAAGTGCCGCCACCTAGCGGAGAATGCATTATTTGCTTATTTTACAAAGCCAAAGAAAATTGGTTCCTGTTACATACTTTCCAACGAATACAATATACCCTTTAACACTACGAGTGAATGGGCATAAAAACCTTATGTATTTGTCAAGATCATAATCAAAGCTGTCGTCCATTAAATGGATTGTGGAAAATGGGAGAAAAAAATCCATTAAAAACTGAGCAAATTAAAACGATATTTAATGCCAGCATTTTGCGTGTGAGTATTATTTGCGTGGGGAAATGAAATATACTTTTGAGCTGAATTAATGAGTCGGGGAGAAAGGTGGGTGGGTTTCGCGGCGTCTTAAGGACACAAGGCACAAAGGGAATACAAATGAAAGGTGATTTTTCAGCTTCTTTTCGCCTTTGAGGGTTTTCAGGAGCACCGCAAGGGCAAGAACAACCACAAAGTGCGGTTGACAGGGTATAATGTGAAATTAACATGGCTTATATGCAACTCAGAGTGGATTGCATCGAAGTCAGCCACACACACACCCACACTTAGCTCACATTTCACCTGTCCACCGTTTGTTGCGGCGGGTCAGCCCGTTATGGCACCATTTTTAGTTCACCTTTAGTCACCTGTTTTCCTTGGAGCCAATTTATTTTGCAATTTATCGCGGGGTGAAAAAAATAATATAAAAATGTGACGGCGAAAGGCATTTCAAAGTGGAGGAGCAAAAGATTGAAAAAACACCGCCATGGCAACAATTACGGAGTGTTTAAAGTAGCCGCGTCGTCGTCTTAGGAGGAAAGTCACGCCGTCAACCTCTACTTTGCCCAGCGATGCAAATCTCTTTGCTTTCGGAAGGCACAAGCACAAAAGCTTGTTTATAGTTGGCATCAGCAGAAAAAAAGGCCCAGGATGGGTCGCAAATTGAATAGGTACAAGCGAGGGTTCGAGGTCACCAAACCCCTAGAACATTCTTAGAACATTGTAACTTTTGCCTTTAAATAGTCTTATTTTCAAAGTCAGCATAATAGCTCTGATGCTCCTTTGAATAGAGTGCAAAAGGGTAAATCGGGGTCACCAAACCATA